CTGATTGCTGGTTTCACCACGCTCTGCTACAGTTTTCGAACGGGTGAATACTGGCACATGTGGTTTAACTGATCTAGAAGAGCTGGGTCGAGCTGTCGAACAATCCGGAGAGTCTCTTGTACCTTCAAACAATAATATTTATCAGTCTCAAATCCTATTTAATTGTTCAAAGCTAAACTTCTTAAGTATATAAGCATTTTTCGGGTTTGACTATCAATTTGAGGTATTTCGAGTCTGAATTTGGCCAAACGGATTGCGGAATCGAAATCAGGGCGTCAAAAAACATAAAGTATGACTTTCCCAAAATTCAAATTCTTGGTCAAAGTCAAAGTCAACCACTTTGACCGTAGATTTGGAGACCTTCGGATTCGAATTTGACAAAACGGACTACGGAAACGGATTCGGCACGTCGAAAACTATCAGGATAGGTATACTCGGAAAAGATTAACGGTCGTTTAATGCTCGGTCAACGCCATTTTAAGTTTTGGTCAAAGAAAGTCAACGGTCAACGGTCAACGGTCGGGTCGGGTCGAGTCAACAGTCGGGTCGGGTCGGTTCAGACCGGTTAAACCGGTTCGAACCGGTTGAAAACCGGTCAAACCGATCACAACCGGTTGAAAACCGGTTAAACCGGTTTCCAGCAGCCACTCGCCCTGCGGCGGCGCGTGTGGCGCGTGAGGCGTCCTCCGGGGCCCTAAAAATCCCTGAAAAATTTCTAAAAATTATTTTGAGCGATTTCGAGATACTTACAACGATCGGTTCAAATTTTTGAACGGCGGAGAGCTCGATTTCAAATCGGCCGAATCTTTGACTGCACCACCTCCTCACGCGCCGCCGTCTACGGCGAACAAGGTTAACACCGGTGAACTCGGAACGGCACAAGGAACACGATGGTGCGGGAGGTGTCGTAAACGGAGCAACGATCAGCGGTGAATTTAAGATTTCCTCGGCGATAGAGCTAACAAAACCGTCGCTACTTTGACTGGAAATTCCCGACGTTTGGCCGCGTTTCACTTCAATTAATTTGAAGGGTTTGTTCCTCGCTCGATGATGAACACAACGGTGGTTTCAAAACAACGATCGGAATTCGGACGGCGTTTGGATCGGACTTGAAAGTGGAGGTGTGAGAGGAAGAAAATTAAAGAAATAGCATTTGTGATTTCTGATTGTAAATCAGAAATCACGCTTAAATCATCAAGCCTATCGACAGTTTTAGGGGAAATTCAGGGTTTGGTCCCTGAATTTCCTTTACTTCAAAAATGACATACAAGTTTCCATAAATTTTAATTTAGTCACTTAATTTCACTCATTTTCACAATTTACCTCCAATTTCAATTAATATTATTTTGTAAATATTCGGGTTGTTACAAAACTCCTTTTAATTATATACTTTTTTTAAGATCATGAATCAATTATATTATGTAAAATTCTTTTAGTTATATACCTTTTTAGGATTATTAGATAAGATAAATTAAAAACTGATATTAACAGTAAAAAAATGAAAAGATATCCATTAAATAAAAAATAAGAAGTTAATATTAGCCTTTGATTTCCATCAATCTAATGATCCGAAAAAGATGTCAAACTAAAAAAGTTTTATAATGTGTAAGTGGATCTTAATCTTATGTATGTGAATATATTTGAAGTAAGTGTGTTTTTATCTATATTTTTAAATATATTAAAATTTTATATCCTTTAAATAAATAAAATATTTTAATAAGTAAAGATAATTAAAATATTTAATTCAATAAATTTTTATCTTATTTGTTTTGTAATCACAATCATTTAATGTTTGAAGTGAATTTTATAAATGATAAAGTCAAATTGAAAAAAAAAAACATCATAAAATTTTGATTTGAATAATTACTTTACTATTTTATGGATATATTTAAATATATTTATTGTAAAAAATTATATTATTTTTTCTCTTTTATTAAATGAAAATAACAAATATATTTAAGTAGCATACATACAATCTTAAAATTTAAGTGAGTTGGAATTTTGAGATTAAAGAATAATTATGTAATGATGATTTAAAGGGTGGTATTCTATTAAAAAGCCCTCATTAATTATTTTTTGAGAAAAAACCTCTGAATCAAGTTAGTTAAAAAAATATCTCTAAACTGTAACGTAAGATTACCTTGCGTTTTATAAAATGTGTTTTATATGGTACGAGACTTGTCAATTTTTTCAGATAAAATCATATAATTTTAGATAAAGATAATAATAAATCCATGAAAATCACTTTTTATAAAATGCGATGTCTGACCTCACTTTTTACAAAACACGATATCATCTTAAGTAAATAGTTTAGTATATTTTCTAACTAATCTAATTTAAAAGTTATTTATAAAAAAATAATTAATAGAGATTTTTAATATAATAACACAGATTTAGAGTAAGGGATGTCATGTTCAAAAGAAATGTAGGGGGGTGTCAGTGGTCACGTGGCTTTTGGGATTAATCTATTGGGTTTTCATTCGTCAACCCACTAAACTGGGCAAAATCGATCAAATGGGTCCTGTTTTATAGTGGTTTGGTTTGAAAATAATAGACATAATGATATTTACGCCTTAAGGTCCTCAAATAAAAAATTAATGTGATATTTGAATTTTTTTATCTTTAATGTAGTTTTTAAATTATAAAAAGAATAATTTAATTTTTTGATTAATCGAATTAAATGTTGATCGTGATGGTATTGTAATGACATTTCACAGAATTAATGTGACGGTTTATATTAACTTATGATATGATAAATTACTCTTTTATTCAAAATAGAGGATCATATTAGTATTTTTTAAAGTTAATGGATTTATTTAATTTTTTTTATAAGAATTAAAATTAATTTAAATTTAAAATATAAAAATATTCAAGTATTTTTAAAAATTAAATATAAAAAATACTAAAATAAAAAATAAATTACAAAAATAGTAAATATATATATTATAAATTTTAAAAATAAAATATCTCAAACTATGACATAATAAAATTTAAATTATTTAAAAAAATAAAAATTTAAATTATACATATTTATACATATAACGTATAAACACAAAAAATAACTTAATCATATTTATAATAAATACAAAAATACATTTATTTTATAATTTTTAAAAAATTAATATTTAAAAATAATCTAATAATTATCTTTTACCTTTTACCTTTATTGCTAATATTAAATAAATAAATAATTTAATCTTGATGTGGCGCCGAAGCCATGCCGATAGGGTGAACATGAGACCCGAATTTAATGGGTTTCGATTCAACTCGATTCGATCGGGTTAGGTATTTTTAAAAGAAATTGGGTTAGGGTCGGGTTAGAGTTGAGTTTTTTAAAAGTGATATTCGGGTCGGATTCATGTTTAGGTTGAAAAATACTCAACCTGAAAAAATATAATTTTACGTTATATATTTAAGAATAATTACAATAATACCCCTTTATATATTATTTTTCAATTAAATTACTGTTTTTATTGAATAAAAATATTTTTTTATTTCGTGTCGGATCGAATTCAGATCGGGTGGAGGGTATATATTTTTCGGGTCAAATCGAGTCGTGCGAAGGATGTACAATTTTCGGATCTGTCTGGTTGGCCAAAACCCGACCCATGTCCATCCATAGACAATGATCATGGGCAAAGAAAATAATTTTCCACTAATGTTATCTCCTCCCCATAAGCAAGTACAAACCCTTTCTATATTTTTCAACCTTCAACCTAAAATAGATTTTCAGTTACGCCGTGTCTGGATACGAATAATTTAAAATTTTAATCCGAGTATAAAGTTTCATACAATGTACGATTTAATGTATAAAATACGTCAATATTATTTATTAAATTAATGTTAAATTAATTTGTAAAACCTGTTCTCATGAATATAAAAGGGATAACGACACTTTTTTTATGACCCAACGATTCCCACAGGATTAACAGCGATCCAACAATGATGAAGACCATTCCGTAAACCAACTACACCTAAAAGTTTATATATTTGATATTATATTCACCAAGTATTTTTCCTCATTAATCTCTTATATCCAATTTATTCAACGTTTCAAAGAGGTAGTCTCTCTTGAACTTAAAACCAGCGTCTCCCGAAGTTTTGTCTATGGTAAGTGTTAGAACGTCAAAATTGAATTTTTAATTAAAATTTTAGATTGAAATTAAAATAAATAAAATTATATTTAAATAAAAGTCGAATCAAATTTTATTGTGATTATATTAAATCTGGATGGATCAGAAAACCTCAAAATAAATATCTAAAAATGATAAATGGAAAAAATATTCATTTAGTCTTAATTCAATTAAGTCATTTAACACCTTGATTAAATGGCTTTTTATTTATCTCTAATAAAAATTAATAGTAATTCAATTTTAACACCGGTAAACAATTCCCCCCTCCCCATTTTCTAAGTTTTATAATTTGATCTCACCCAAACACAAATTTTCTTTAATTCGTTGCTGGACTAGATGGGACATTTTCCATTCTTTTTTAATTTGGAAAGGTTTACTCAAACTTGATTTCCTTTCGGGTCTCCATAAATTAACCATCTAAATTATTTGCAAAACCTTGGAACAAAAATGGAGTCGTAATTGATAAGCACCATCCTCTAAATGGATAGCGATGGAATAAACAAGGCGGTAGTAAAATTCTCAAAATTCTTGTAGAAACAGCCATGGAAGAAGAAGACAAATCAGAGAATTAGGAAAGAGACGAACAGAAAAGAGAAGTTGAAAACCAATGATCCATCGGAGCTCAAAACTATATACAAGTCAAACAGTGATCAATGACAGGTCGATTCATTTTCTTGATGTTATAAACTAATCAATGACAGGTTGGTTTCCGTTTAGGTTTCCATTGATAGATACATGCCACAAGGAATATGATCAAATTCAGAAATAAAATACAAGTTCTAGGAACAAATTATCATCCAAATCCAACAACCAATAGTGAAAACAAACTAGAATTGGAAAAAGCCACAATCTAATGAAATCGAAAATCTAGAGAGAGATTAACCTCCAGAATTGTTCGACGGTGGGAAAAGTGTAAATAGCGCGCATAGAGCTATCCCAAGCAGCTTGCCTGGATTTAGCAGACGGATTATCGAACCAGAAGGTCCACAAGTGCTCCAGCAGGTGGGGCTGCTCCACTATATCGTTATTTGGCGAAGGTAACGTCGTATCTTCCTCTGCAATCTCCACCTCATCATCCTTCAGGTTAGGATAAGACTTCTTATTCTCTTCATTTATGCTCGTTGATTTCATAATATTTTCCTCTACCCCCATTTTCCTTTCACTTCACTTGTTTTGGATTCCCTGGCTCTCTCTGAAAATTCTAATTTTATCTTGATTTTCTGATTACCTCATGGATCTTGTAAATTACGTTAACCCAAACGAATTGACTTTTCCTATTTAGTTAGCAACAATTTACTAGTTAAAAACGGCGAAAAAAAAAAGTTAATTTGAATGTTTATAAATTCAACTGTGGCCCATAAAAAAACATGTAAAAACTCAACAACAAAGTATGATGGGAACACATCCGTAGCAACAGAACCCATAGTTTTTTTCCTTCCAAAATATCAATTATACTGAAAATCAGAGAGCAATAACATACCAATAGTACCACACTGCTCATGGAAGTGGAGATGAACTTTCAGCTTTTCTACATATGTAAATAAATATATTCATGTTTGCTTTAGTTACAAATATGAAATATCCAGTTTCCTACAACATAAATCTTTTTTCCTTTTGCCTTTTTTACTATTATTAACAAGGAGATGGAACACAGAGGGCTGCTGCTGCAGTAACCGAAACTACTATTTTTATGACAGTATTTCCCCCTCTTCACCATCTTCATTCAGAATTGTGTCGTCGTCCTCGTCTTCTGAATACTCGGCCTTGATGAACAAACCCAACTGTTGCAGTGGATTCCCACGAATTCCTTCATATGATGCTCCACACAACTTTTCAGATTCGGTCTTAAGATCATGCAATTGATTATTGAAAAGGGAGCATCCGATTAGCTTCTCAAGTTCTTTCAAAATCTCCAAGTTCTGCTCAATCTCAGCTGTTTCCTCCATCTGAAAAACCAGGCAAGTAAAATATTTGGCATTAGTTGATGCTCTGTTTCACTTTTTTTTTTATATAGTATTACAGTGGTCTAGCGTCTAAAATTAACACACTATTATATATGATACGGACAAAAAGAAAACAAAAGATAAAACCTTTTGCAATTCAATTCGAGCAGCTTCTCTTTCTCTTTCTCGGTGCTTTTTCAGCTCAGCATCTGCCTTCATTTTTACTGCTGCTTCAGCAGCTACAAATTGAGCTTCGATTTTGGCCTTTTCTGTGAAGATACAAGATCATGTATAAGACCTCTAGGCACACTACTGCCCCTCAATTACTAAACTAACTTGAACGTTAAAACTACCAAGGAATATGTCCCTGTGTGCACCAAAGTACTAATATTCCTATTCACTCGCAACATGCACGAATTGAATATTAAACTCAGATTACAATGAAAAATAGATACTTGTATATAACTATATAAATCAATGCAACCCTAAAAATCATTTCATTTCTTCAAACATGAAAGACAGAAAAAGAGAAATTGAACAATATGGTATTAAATTAATTACTGCATAGGTAGGCATATATTACATCATCATCATCATGAGATTGAACCGGGAGACACAATCAAGAATACAAACTGAGTTTTTCGACAGTTGATAAGATTAAAGCAGTTCAAAACCTATAATGATAAGTAAAAAAACATGAAGTGAAAAAAGTGATTTTAAATCAATACACCTCTAAAAACACCAATGGAGAGTATCAGTTTTATCTTTTCAATTCCATTTAATGATAGAATTAGAAAAAATTTTGTTTTTAGCAGCAAAAATAAAAACGGGAAATAGAAAAAAATAAAAATGATCAACAATGCAACAAATACAAAAGAACTACAATAAGTGTTAAGCTAGAAAGATCACCTTCACGCTGTCTTTTTTCCAATCTTTCCTTTTCTTGCTGCATCTTCACTGGATCAATTTTATCGCACTGTTTAACAAGGCGGCATATATTGTCACTAAGACAACATGCAACACAAAATCCCAACACAGCACTCAAAATATAGCCTTCCAGAAATTTACATGATCCAGTAGTGCCCTCTGCCGAGCTTTCAAAATAGTGTCTGCAAAACGAGTTTTCAGCATTGCAGCACGGAGAGCCTTTTTTGGTGACATCCGCAAATCAAAAATAGGATCTGAAAATCCTACATCAGATAATAGAAAAACAAATAAAGTGATTAAGCTTACCACACAAGGGATCTAATAACAACCAGAAACTGCGACCATTATAGAAAGTGAAAAAAGGAAAAGCTCAATAGTTAACATTAGTGGATAAACCAACCTTCTCCAGGAGCAGCATCTGTTGGAGTTGTAAGTTGAGAACTGTTACATATATTCTCATCATCCAAAGCACTTGCAGCCCCTTAAAATTTTAAAAGATTTACATTACTCGGAAGAAGAATCAAGTAGAAAATCATAAAAAACAATCAAAACATTTCCTCACCATTAGAGTCTTGATCAAACTTGCTCATTTGCGAAGTCAATGTGCTTTTTGCCCGGGAATCCTAGTTTGTTAATATAAAATTTTAGTAAAATATTTCATGGCACTAATCATAAGACAATCAGAACCTATTACTATAAAAGCAGTACTGTATACCAATTTAGAAACATCAGCGCTACACACTCTAAGGTCTCCACCAAATGCTCTTTCTGAAGTCATAGCAACACCGAACAAAAAGTAAGTTCTGTCCTTGAACTACAAAACGGATGTAGCACCAGAAATAATCAAGACTAACCACTAGAAGATGCATGGTATGAATCACTTGGAAGACTACATTGACAATTAATGCTGCCACATGAACTGCATCTGGAGGCACCTGGGCTCACTGGTGGCTTGGCATTGGTAGACCCATTAGAAGATCCACCACTACCAGAATCAGTGCCTATAAGACACATTGCAAATTAGCTCCTATAAAGAGCCATAAAGCAGAAATTGTATTCTGCCATTTCATACCTTTTTGTAAGCTTTTTCCCGCCACTTTGCTCACACAGTTGTGTGCCAGTTTAGGAAGCTCACCCTATTAATAAGCCAAGAAATTCAGTATCCAAAGCAATGCAAACTTCTATGGTAAGAAACATGAAATGAGCAAGACATTACTTCAAAGCCAAAACTAAGATGCTGTATGCTAACAACAAAATGCTACAATTAGTACTATAACTCTGATTTGTTTTACAATTGTCAATTCCAACATTGTTCTTTAACGATATTTTTGAATTTACACCAATTCAGAATCCTAAGCAAGCATAAGCATGATTGTTTACAACTACTATATACAATTATCACCTCAGCTTCTCTCGCATTCAGAGGCACCTTTGCAACCTTCTCCTCAGATGCCTTTGACTTCTTGGGTAGAGAACTATTTCTGGAGAGTAGTGTTGTAGGATAACTCTGCCTTGATTTATTCACATCTTTCAGTCGCATGCTCTTAATTTTCCCTTGCCCAACCTCAAAATTTCCTTCATTACATTTCCCCTCAAAAGATTTCCATCTAGCCTCGAAAAAATCTTTCATTTCTTTTGCCATTTTATGAACATCGTTGGATGGGGGATTATACAGCATGGCGTTAGAAAACGTTAGTCTAATATCCGCCACAAACTCATCAGTTCCAATATAAATGTTCTTTTCTAACTTGGACTTAATTGTACCCAAATCCATGGGGTTTTTTATTATAGAAAAGTAATCAGGAATCCCCAATGCCTTAGGATCCACTGGTTGACTGAAAACCCAAGCAGCTGGATGTTTCAGCAGTGCTTTCAGTAGGGCACAACAATGCTGAGTCATGCAACGGTCCATCTTCCGCCTCTTCTCTAGTGGGGCACCCATACTAGCCACTTCTGGTTGACGCTTTAGAGCACTTGAACTCTCCTTTGAATTTCCAGCAGATGCCCCCTTTTTTACATCACAAGAACTACTCGGTTGCTGGCCACACTCATAAGATTGGGGTTCTGGAATTGCTTCTATTTTCTGAGAAGGGAACTTGATCTTCAATTTAAGCTTAGGCACAGCACTTTCCATGGCAATCATTCTGTAAATCTGAAAACTTCAAAAAATCTGAAAACTTCAAATCTAGCACCTTTTAGATTTCCACTTAGCAGACACTGGGGAAAAGTGTGAAAAGCAGAATAAACCCGTCAAATTTTGAGACGGCTACAAACTTAAGTATATGAAATCAAAATTTTCTTTTAAAAAATACATTATGGAACAATTTCTATTAGCAGGCATGGAAAATATCAAAAGTATCTGATCAAACAGAACGCTTATTACAAAGTCATCATACAAGTACCATGGATTCATAAAGAAAACTACCTGCAAAACTCAAACTTTCAACCAAAAAAGTAAGCATAACCTAACCAATTGCAATAGGAGTTCCTTCATGTCTGTTAAATCAAAAGAGCGAAAACCCCCCCACGGGAAAGATAACAAGCCATCAGATTTATTCTTTTTTCTTTTACCGATAAGCCGGAAAATAAAAGATCTTAGATATACCACGTAGACTAACAAACACCATTTTAGATAAAGTAAAAGAAAAGGAATTCATATTTGGATCAGGCATAAACAAAACCCTGACAGAATTTAGCCTCTTTTAAACCGAAAATTCGGTAACTAAAACACAAAATTGTACATAAATATCTCAGGAAAATAAAAATTAAGATGAAAACAGAATACAATTTAAAATAAGAGCACGGCTAAAGTAACTATGATGAACCAATCAGAAACTCGAAAAAAAAACCCTAGGGCAGAATCATTTATTCAGAATTTCAATTCACCAAATCAAAGAAACCAGAATATTCAAAACCATGCAGAAAATGAAACTTAATTTAGGTTTTGTTGAACATACCGGAAATCAAGCCAAACAAGAGCCGTAAAAACTTGGACTATTGATCGATTCGACGGCGAAGGATCTAAGAGAGTGTTTAAAAAAATAAAAAGAAAAAAAGAAAGAAAATAGAAGAGAGAACAAAGCGAGAAGAGAAGAGAGAGTGAAAGAGAATTTGCTAGGGTTTTATCTCCACACCGCTACTCTTCTCCGCTGCTTCGATAGAAAGAGTGTAAATCTCAGGTAGGGTTTTATTATCTCTTGCTTTTACCTCTGGACAATACGTTCGCTTTTGCAAATTAAATTTACGACTTAATATTTACATCAGAAATATAGCATAAAGGTCAAAGGTCTGTGCTTAAGTAAATGACTATTTTGCCCTAGGCTTGAGTATCGTTTTGGTTCCTGTCGGTGATGGTTCAAGATGTAATTTCGAGGATACTAGTATTATTTTCCAAACTATAAGGATAGGCTTATGGAAGATATAATAGCATATGGTAAGGTCTCGTTGATTTTGATTATAAAGTTTACACGGTTCGTACCACGTGGAACAAATATGAGTTTGTCTTTTTGTGAAGGCTGTCCCTTTTTTCTATATATATATATATATATATATATATATATATATATATATATATATATATATATATGGGGTAAGGGGAGGTAAGATAGTAGGCTACCCCAACTAGGAATGGCAATGGGTCGGGTCGGGTCGGGTTTTTGGGTCACCCTATCCGACCCGAGAAGAAAGGGTTCTCCACCCGTGACTCGACCCGACAAAATTAATGTTTCACCCGACCCGACCCGACCCGAATATATGACTTAGAAACCCGACCCGACCCGACCCGACCCGACCCGAAATAATAATAAAAAAATTTAATTCAATGAAAACAGTGACTTAATTGAAAAAAATTATATATGGAGGGATATTATTGTAATTATCCCTAAATATATAAGATAAAAGTATATATATTTTTCGGGTCGGGTCGGTCGGATTTTTTTTACCCTAAACCCGACCCGACCCGACCCGAACAGTGCATTTAAAAAAAACCCGACCCGAACCCAAATTTTTTTAAAAAAAATCCGACCCGATCGGGTCGGGTCGGGTCGGAACCCGTCGGATTCGGGTTGAGTTGCAATCCCTAACCCCAACACCAGATTGAGAGCAACTTCCGTAAGAGACCTCCGAATTATGAAATGCCCTCCATGAGACTCGATCCCACGACCTCAAGGTTAAGAACCTTGTCTTTTTGTAAAGGTATAATGTAAATAAATACTCCTAACGTTTAATACTATATGAATTTGTGCCCAAATTATTTTTTTTGGAGCAATCTTATCCACAATGTTTGATTATGAGACATAAATCCCCTTCGTTAGATGGAATCCGTCAGTCAACTGACGGTCAACAAATCTATCTAACGTGGCATGCACATGTGGTCATCGATGATGACGTGGCATTTTCATGTCATTGTTTTTGCTGACGTGGCATGTTCATATCATAGATGATGATGATGTGGCAGATCCACATAGACTAAATGCTGACGTGTCATGTACACGTGTGATACCACGTCATCAATTTTTTTAAAATTAATTAATAATAAATAACTATTTTTTATTAAATTAATATCAACCAATCAGATGTTGCCACGTGACACATGAATTTTTTATTAAATTAAGAAAAGAGGGATTAAACCTCCACAAATTTTGCAATATATAGAATTTGAACCTGGGTATAAAGGATGAAAGCCTTGATACATCAGGCCAAGTCACTCAGTTTATTATTGAATGACTAATAACAACATTTAAAGTATATTGTTGACATCAAAACTATCATTAACACAAACACTTTTTAAAAAAAAAATTATAATTAGATTTAAATTGTTATAATTATTTGATTAAATTTAAATTATCCATAGGTATTTTTAAATTTAAATTTATAAATCGATATGGGGTCTTAATTAATTTTAAATTTATAAACTTTAAAAAAATCATAAGTAAATTGATTTGGGAATAAACCATAGGTCTTTTTTAAAGTTTATAAATTTAAAATTAATGATAATTTTAAATTTCAGTTTTTTAATTTTGTTTTAATTCATCAACAACAGATCTCTAATCTCCAGTTCTGTCTTTAGCAGTGATAGTGCTTATGGAAGATGTGAAAACAACCCTTTTCACAGTGTTGAATTTCAAGCAAGATTTGAGGAGGTTTTCAGTGCCTTTGATTGCAGGGTAAATGATATTTGATCTAACATAGGATTCTTGAAAAAATCAAATGCTCTGTTAGATTGATGAACTGTCGAAACGTGAATGAAAATGCTTTGAAGATAAAAAAATTGTAGAATTTACCAATATTCTCCTTCGAATTGGCGTCGAATTCCATTGAAGATGTCACATGGAATAAACCATTGAAGATAAAATTTTAATTAATTTTAAATTTATAAACTTTAAAAAACACCTATGGTTTATCCCCAGATCAATTTTCCTATGATTTTTTAAAAGTTTATAAATTTAAAATTAATTAAGACCCATATTGATTTATAAATTTAAATTTAAAAGACCTATGAATAATTTAAATTTACTCAAATAATTATAACAATTTAAATCTAACTATAATTTTTTTTAAAAAAGTGCTTGTGTTAATGGTGGTTTTGATGGCAACAATATACTTTAAATGTTGTTATTAGCCGTTCAATAATTATCAAGTGATTTTGCCTGATGGTTAGGTATCAAGGCTTTCATCCTTTAGACCCAGGTTCAAATCTTATTGATTGCAAAATTTGTGAAGGTTTAATCTTTTTTTTAATTTATTAAAAAATTCATGTGTCACGTGGCAATATCTGATTGTTTGATATTAATTTAATAAAAAATAATTATTTATTATTAATTAATTTTAAGAAAAATGATGGCGTGGCATCACATGTGTACATGCCACATCAGCATTTTGTCTACGTGGATCTACCATGTCATCATCATCTATGATATGAATATGTCACGTCAACAAAAATAATGACATAGAAATGTCACGTCATCATCGATGATCACATGTGCATGTCACGTCAGATGGACCCGTTGACCGTCAGTTGACTGACGGATTCCATCCAACGGGGGACTTATGTCTCATAATCAAACGTTGTGGGTAGAACTGCTAAAAAAACAATTTGGGCACTGCATATAATGTCAAAAGTTAGGGATATTTGTTTGCATTATGTCTTTTATAAAATTAAAGCTTAATTCACAATTTAACTCTTAATATATATTTACTTTGCATCGTAAATCCTTTTTATCCCAATTTATTCCTTAAAACATCATTTTCAACCCTTATAAAAAATAATGAAATAGTTAATCAAAATATGTCACACGGCACTTTGTTATTGGATATTGATAACTTTTTGATCAAACTAGGATAAAAGATAATAATTTAGAGGATAAATTGAGACAATAAATAATTTAGGGTTAAAGTATATATATTTTAAAAGATAATTAGGAAATTAAATATGAAATTAAAGTAGTTTTACAGCATTCCATAACATTTTGCAAATTTTATATTAAGCGATCCAAAATTATTTTTTAAAATATAATTATACATATCATGTAAATTCTTAAGTTGACTTAATATTTCGATTTTTAGGATAAAGAATTATGTTTTTATTGAAATATATTTAACATTTTTCATAAAAATAATTAAACATTCTTAGTTTATTAAAAATTTGACATGCATAATTTATATGAGTTTAATTGCGTTTAAATATACAATATATCTCTATTTATGGGGGTTGGGAAAGATGTGAATAATATAAATACTATGCCCAAAAAATTATAAGCCAGTCAAACTTGGAATCAAGTGAATGGCACAGGCAGATAACTTGGTAACTATAGCTACGTATAGGGATGGAACGAGGGGAGCGGGTGGGGACAGTCGTCTCCCTAAAATTTTAAAATTATCTTATATTTTTTTATATATTTTCTATTAAAACTTTTTTTCCCATCAAATTTTATAAATTTAAGTCTGTCTCTCTAACATAAAATCATGCGTCCGTCTCTAGCTATATATATATATATATATTGTATGCCTAAGCTGAGCCCTTTGTCAATTTCTCAAGGACCTATCAAGAGATGCTTCAACTCCTCTCGGGCAGCCTCGTTAAAATAGGCATACAAGGCCAATTGGAGTGTCCCCAAACCCGTTCCAATCCCATTTGGTACCTGTATTCAAAGACTTGGCTGGTTATACGATCAGTTGGCATTGGATCAAGATATGCAACAACGGAAAAAAATACTTACATAGATGAAAGCATCATGCTTCGACATTCCATATACGAAGAAAGCCAGACTCATCAGGAATGTGGCAAGAGACAGAGAGAACGGCATGTACTCGACGCTTCTGGTTTTGATCACCAGATTCTGCCATATGAACACGGGTGAGAACAAATTACGCGATCCGATGATCGAAAACAAAATTATGATGAACTTACGATTATGAGCAGAGGAGAAGCAAACATGGAAATCAGAGACGCAACACTTAGATAACCGACGGAATGTTGCCGTGATGGGGCATCCAAGAATCTCAGGCTAACGAAAACTATGGCAGCAAATATTGCAGAAACCGATACCAAGAATCCCGCATCTTCAACTGATACAATCATGTCAAAAGTTATATAAAGAAAGGCATTTCTAGTTGGATAATTGCTCCTTAGAAAATAGTCTTCTTAAGTGCCTTCATTGGCTTTTCAGCATAGACAACAAAAAGGGTGATGTAAATCAATTGGAAAATTGCTCCAATGGAATTGACTGTTGCCACCAGGATAATACCAGGAGATACAAGGGGCAAGCCGTACCAGAGACATATCAAGCAGTTCAATAAAGCATATATGTAAGGCATTCCCGAGAACTGTTCTGTTGATCCATTTCTGATTATTCTCCTAAATGTTGGTCGGTAAAAGAAACAGCAAGAAATAAGCCCTTGCACTTGAGCTTTTGTTCATACAATCTTTGTTCCAGTTCTACAGAAGTTTGAAACCACTTACACAGGTGACAAGAACAGCACAAAAGCAAAGATGTTACCTGAAAAAAAAAACCAACAGATGTTCAATTTAGTGACATTTCAAGGAAAAAAACAGTATATTAATGATTAGACGAGAGTTGAAACGGGAAGCTTGAGAGACAAGTAAGAGGGAAAACATAGGCAGGCTACCTGCAACACCAGCTGCATCACTGCAAACTGCATAAACTGAAGATACCACTATTGAATACATTTGCAAATCTTTGAACTTCTATTTCTCTCATCTCTTCACTTGTGTTCTTTCGCGGATAATATATAGGACAAACCAGATGATCATTCCACATAAGGCAAAACTCCCTGTAGATAGTTTTTTTAAGCCACTAGCTTTTATTGTAGATAATTATCACTATTGTTATTTTAGGTCATGACAAAGGTGACTTCCACCCTCAGAGTCACAATCAATCAGTTTTAAAACATGTCAGCCAGGAGGATTAATCTTTTACAGGGTAAAAACTAGATGGTTCAACCTGGTCCAAGATATATATATATATATATACTTTTCTGATATACCATTGCCATTTTCCCACAAATTAAGTGATGGAGAACAGAGAACTCATGTGTTTCCTGTAAACCAGACCACAAAAACTGGAAAAAAAAGGGTGTCTGCTGGCCCGCAAAGAAAACATGGTTAACAGTATATGGTGTAGAATCATAGACAGCTTCTTTAACTCAGCCTGGTGATGTGAGACAGCGGGAGGGGGACTTTTGTATTTGTACGTTTTTTAGGGTAAGCCACATAGGCATGTAAACGAACCGAACGCACACGAACGGAGGTATATTCATGTTCGTTCATTTAATAAACAAACGAACATAAACGAATACGAACATAAACAAACAAACAAAATTTTGTTCATGTTTGTTTATTAAGGAATATAACTTGTTCATGGTTCATTTAATAAATAAACGAACATAAATGAACATAAATGTTGGAGACCCTACATTCCATTGTTCTTTCATGAAAAATAGTCGACAATGCAAATCAACCAAATCTACAGTGATAAATAGCGTAAGAGATGATTAGCAGTAATGAAATGTTTGAAGATATCAAATATTTCGATCAATCTTCACACGACTTTAATTTAACGTTATAACATTTATCTTAGTGGTCCATGATTACATATGAACAATCATTTTCCACTACGTTATTATAATAAATTCGCCGACTAAAAGTTTTGTGACATCAATGTCAGACTTTAGTGAGGTTTGTTAATAATGGTCATTTCCGTTGGCAGAGTAGAAAATTTAACAGCATGAAGATTTAAAACTGTACAAAATTGGACTACAAGGCAATAAAATAGATCCAAAATCCCTTCGATGCTACATATCTTAATTGATATTATTGCTAAAGCATCATTCAAAATTTTAACATACCTATAGTCTACTCCACAACTAAAGGTCACACAAGAACTATTAAAACAAAAGTTCATTGTCAAAGTGTATTTTCTACTTATTAATGGGTTCTTCCTGGAAAACCCATTACTTCCACTATTACACTCTTTTGCAGAAATTGCATAGAAACATTTATTTTGTTTTCTGACAAATTCTATTTATTTTTCTCTTTACTAATGCTTATATACTTACGATTGTTACCTTTATCTTCTCATCTATTTTTAGAAAAAAATATAATGTTTTCTTGAGTTTTAGATGTGAAGATACACGCAATAACTTTACATATCAATTATTAAGCCAAATAAAACAGAAAAAGAGATGAAAACACACATGTAAAACTTCAGATTACACTATAATATAACTTGTTTTGAAGCTTTCAGCGATCGTCTCCACTCTCTAGTGAATACTAGGGTTTGGGAAAAAAAAAGGGAAAATGAATATAGGTGCGAGGTGCCTCACGGGTTAACATATTGGATTTAATCTCCAAATAAAATTGGGTTAATTATGAAATTGGTCATCAGAATATCAGATTAATTAATATTTTTAAGATACTTACAAATTGGTCACCAAAATTGATTTAAGAAGATTGTGTTAAACATAAATGAATGAACATAAACGAACATAATCGAACGAACATAAACGAACATAACCGAGCGAACATAACCGAACGTTCACGAACGTAAATGAACGAACGAGACCTATGTTCATGTTCGTTCATTTAATTAAACGAACACAAAATCTTGTTCATGTTCGTTCATTTAATAAATAAACGCACATAAACGAACTTCCCGTCGCACGGTTCATGAACAGTTCACTGAACGTTCAGTTCATTTACAGGCCTAAAACCACATGTTTTATAAGCTTATAGTGTATTACGTGGATATTCGAATCCATCCGCTTCTCCCCCAAAATATTTTGGGCAAATTATATAAGTTTATCGGTTAACTTTTTCTCATTCTTATTTTGGTCATTAATTTTTTTAAAAATTTCAATTTTATCACTCAACTTTTGAATTAGTCTTGTTTTGGTCATTACACCTTTAAATAATTAAATACAGTATGACATGAGAGACGACACCAAAACAATATCATTTAAAAAATACAGGATTTATACCAAAACTATATCATTTTTGGTTTCCTATAAATTATTTTTTATTATAGATATTATTTCTTTCTCTTTTTTTTCTCTCAATTTTACCAGATTTTGGCTATTGTTCATCATAATAGACCATCATCGATTATCGTCAATAATAACTGATGAGTTTCTTCTCATTTTTCCCTCTTAAATGCAAATATGCTTCATTTCTTTGTTCTTTAATCTCCATTATTCATTGTTGAATGAAACTCAAATGGAAACATCTTCTTCCCACTTAATAGGGGTCTCTTTATCATTAGGATATTCAAATGACAACTCTTATCGTAAGAAATTCATCAAAACTTCATCTTAAAATTAAATTCAAAACACTTGATTTATCATTATTGACCATCTGATGAGTTTCTATCCAAACTATGTTTTTTTCCGCAATATCCTCTTAAAAACAATTTTATATCTAATTATATATATATATAATTAAATATCAAATTATATCTTAAAATTAAATTTAAGTAGCAAAATGTATATGATATAACCTTGGCTTGTATGTTGAAGCCTCTTTTTCGAATATATGAGTGTATATATATCCAAACTATGTTGTTAATGTAGGACGTTGTTCCTTTTTTCTTTAGATGTTTTCCTCATAAGAATGTTGTCTTCAGATCATCGATGATTCAATTGAAATAGTTAGACAGTATTTGTGGAGGGTTCCATTGATACTGACCGGAAGCAAGTAAAAGAAGATTCGATTAACTGAAATAGTTTGACGGTCAAAAAATAAAATTTTATTTCAAAAATGAATGATCATGTGATGCAAATAAAAAGAGATCTTAAAATGAATTCAGTATGAACAGCATGAGAAGGCAGTTACATAGAAACACTGCCAAGACATTTTCAAGATTCCAGTGGGCTCTAACTACCCCTCCTTTGCAGATTCCCCTGTGATCATATTGTCAATCCTGGTGTTTGACAGCTCTGCTAAGAGTTGGACCACATCGTTTGACGATTTAAGGAGATACCGAGCATTTGATCTTTTCCGAGCTACAGAGCAAGAAAAATAGTTGTCCCCCGGAAGGTCAAGCACCGAGAAGCCCTCTTCCACCCTTGATTTTAAAACATCTCCGCTTACGTGATAGCTTGAGTTCCTCTCAACCACCGACGAACGATCTTCCCTGGATACACTTGTTGATAACTTTGAAACAGATGCCCCGAGTGGTGATGTCACATGGGATCTTACGGGAGTCTGGACTTCTGAAGGAAGCTCTGGCTCGAAAAAGGTATAAATGTCTTCATCCTGAACCAATGGCAGAATAACAGTTTGGGTATTCAGAATAAATGGCCTCTTAGTGCTCAGTTGGATAAACAGATGGGAACTGCTTTAAGTCACAGAAGAGTATATTTAACAGTTTGGAATTGCAGCAGAGTAAACATAATCAATGGACTTTCCTGAGACCAAATATTTCTATACAAGGAATACCTCAAAATAAAGGAAACCCACCTAAAAGTTGGTGGCTGAAACACGCACCTTAGCTAGAAAGTGTCCTACACAAAGGACGTAATCAATGGGTTCCTTCATGCCTTTTTTATGAACAATTTCTCCAAGGATTCGATCAATCGCTGCACCCTAACATAAATTCATCAAAGCAATAGATAAGACAACCTGTAATACTGATGAATGAATACAAGCAAAAGAAGTAAAGCATACCTTTGTAACACCGACAGATCGAACCTCTACGGACCGGCTGCCTTGGACTACATCAAGAGATGCATTAGAGATCGGGCCTGTCCAAAGATGCTGCAACAGATCCCTAGCTTGAAGTCTTCCGAACTCAACATCTAGAGTTTTAATTAAGTTGTTCAGAAGATAGATCAATAAACGCTAGAAAACAACATTAAGATTAAATTCATGTGATTATTATATGCTAAACAGAAGAGACAATATGAATTAGCTGGAGTTTATTGGTGAGGACCTGCATATTTATAGTTCCATATAAGTGAAGTTTCCCGGAGCTCAAAATGAGATCGAGGAGTTCTTTCAGTAAAATATTCGAATACATGCTGAAACCATGAATAAGCATCAGAAAATTTAGAACCTGAAGAAATCCATGTGAATTTATCTTTATCTGAAAAATATATATTTACCTGGACACTATCCCCCCATTCCATATTTAAATTTTCTGGCATTGTTGTCATCCAATCTCCTTTTGTAGCTCGTAAGAACATTCCGTTTTCTGCTGCCAACCACAAGCTGAAATCGCCAAAGTTCTGTAGGGAAAATTAGTTCAATAGATTTGAAAGAGAAAATAAGGCAAGGATTTATATTCAGAAAAGTAGAAAAACGCATACATCATCCAGGACACTTCTATCACTTCCACTGAGGACAAGAATTGTAGTCTTTGGATCATCACAAAGCTTTTTCAAAGGTTCTCGTAAATCCTGGTGCAACTTGGGTTCCATTTCTTTAATTTGACAGCCCTTCCTCCCAAGGGTATCCACTGGTTCAGTTAAAGTTGCATTGAATCCCTGAAGCATGGAGGCGTGATCATGAATGAAAGGGCAACTCATAAGGAACTGCTTTTCATCAGTTCTTTTCTCAATATGTTCCATGAGGTGGAATTGTCAAATAAAGAAAGATGATTTGTGAGAAAAAAAATACAATACCAGTATCAGCAATCGGTTATTAGATTGTGAGTAACGATCAACTGCAATTTCAATTGGAAGCGGTGGTGGAATTTGTCTTGTCCTTAATTGAGCTTCAACAATGGTATCATTAAGTTCACTACAAAGGAGAGCTTTTATTAAAAACATTGAAACGAGAGAAAGACAAAAGGAAAACCTCTCAATCGTCCACTTCCAATTCCACAACTTGAATTCCAAGATCTTGAAAAGAACAGAAACAGCTACTGTTATTGTTGTGGTTTTATTGAGAAAAACATGAAGGAAAAGGATGGCTGGTAAGCCTTATTTTGCTCTTCCTTTCAATCGATAAACACCGGTGGGACTCTTCCTCACTTCCTCGAGTTTTCATCAAAGAAATTACTAGTACTAAGTTATGATCAAATACCTTACAAAGGTTGCAGCCCACTCTTGAGATGTGTGTGTAGTTACATGCATAAAGTTATGGTGGTGGCGCTTTTCTCTTTCATCGGCTGGCATATTCAAAGCATCACCAATTGAAGAAGCAACTTCAGTGACGTTCCATGGATTAACCAGAAGGGCTCCAGCACCAAGGGACTGAGCAGCCCCCGCAAACTAGAATTAAGCAGAGGCGTTATGATGAAAATTTAAGACATTGTGAAAAGCAATGAACTAACGGCATTCCAAATCAGATTCAAGTACCTCACTTAATATAAGGACCCCTTTCTTGGATGATTGGCAGGCGACAAACTCATAGCTGACAAGGTTCATTCCATCCCTCAAAGATGTTACAAGAGCTACATCTGCACAATTAATTAATGGACAGAGGTTTGGGATTGCATGAGAAATGTTATCATGGGGGGAAATCGTATAGGGATTGAAAAAATAGGGTTATTGCACGAAAGTCGGTACCGGTAACAGCATATAGTGCACATAATGAACAAAAATCAAGAGAACGATCCTGTACCAGAGTAAGGGAATGCATTAGAAATCTTTACACAATCAATCAATAATAACAGGCAGACAAATGTCTAAAATATGAGCTAAAAACATGTAAGCATCCTGAAAGTAGTAGCGAAGGGTGAGATAATTTTGTCTTAAGCAACTAAAAACAATGATCCCGTAGAGGAAAAAAATTGAAGCTCCTACTTAATGTCTTAATGGCAGTGCAGTACTGGCTACAAATTGACTAAATAGTGCATTGCTAATCCTGACTGTAAGCCCAACTCAGAAGTTAAACTGCAGATGAATTAGTTAGAGAAACATGGAGTATACAATTATTTAACCTGGTACAAAAATTTTACAAATTCTACCAAAACATAAAAAATCACATGCATAGGAGCTCTTGACAATCAAAATTTGAAGTTTTTTCTTCTTAGTATCTTAAAATCTGTAAAGCTTGTTGGGTCTCATGGAAAATTTCTACTTCATTAAATGAGCTCCTTGTACACCTCGCTGACATGAAATAGTGGCCATATAAGCACATATCAAATGAGCTTTCCGTATCTTTTGAAAAAGAATATTTTATGTAAATTGCTTTCCATTTCTTTAGAGATTAATCATATTATCAAGATGCAATTGAGGAGTACATTGCATTTTATCCACATGTGCATGCATCAACATAGAAATCATAAACATTCCATTGCATGTTCTAGTGTATCCATGCATAAAGCATAGTTTTATAACATGAGCTAATAACTTTTATCTGTTCTTTTAAACCATCTGTCATTGTTTATGTTGAAAATTCAATATTAGCCTAAATAAGTTCACACCTAAATTAATTTGATGTCATTGCTTACATCAATTTAGTTAGGTGAAAATTAAGTATTTTTCTCTTATTTTAATTTCAATGGTTTAGATTATGTAGTGATTATTTTAATGAGTGGTTTAGATTGTTTCTTGTAACCTATAAATATCCTACTTGTATTTGAGTTTTATCATCCAACAATCAAAGCTTAATTATAAGCATTTGAAAGCTTTCTTAAGAGTTCTTCCTTTTTGTAATTTTGTGAGATTATTGTAAAGAGAGTTTTTCTTCTTCTCGATCAATTAGAGTTTTTAATCTATTTTGATTCAACAATTGGTATCCGAGCCACGTTTTTAAGGTCTCTTGAAATTCCAAGTAT